TAATGGGTAAAAGGCCCAGGAATGTAGATATTACTGCATTTTGCAATTCTTTTCAACATTATGGATTCATCATAGATGTTGAGGAAAATAAAATCTAAATAAGTCATTCCGAAATTGAACCTGTGCATCATTTAGCTGGTTTAATTTCAGAATAAGGCAATGACAGACACTATTACTTTCTTGAGAGTTGCTTTTTTTCTCTTGCTACCATGAAGAACAGAATTGGAATATGCTGAGGACCCAATTACCTTATTTTGTCATTTAAGTGTCTGCATCAGCAAAGCAGAGTTCTTCAAGATGGGAGACCTTGAAGTCTTTCTGAGAAGTATATGTGGTTTTGTAGGACTTTCAGGTATAAGCATCAATAACTTTTAATTAATTAATTAATTAGTTTATTTAAAAGATGAGGTCTCACTTTTGCTCAGACTGGTCTAGAACTCTTGAGCTCAAGTTGTCCTCCCACCTTGGCCTCCCGGAGTGCCCTAGGATTACAGGCCTGAGTCACCACACCAGGCCTATCAATAGCTTTTTACATGCAGCCATAGAAGGCAAAATGAAAACAAATTCTTGGAGCCAAATGGGACTCCCAGAACCTCAACAGTTGTTTATTTATATGTAAATCCATACGTTAAGGAATCTTGTATTAGAAATACACTTTGGATTGTAAGATTTTTCACAAAGGATTAGTGTCCAGGAGTATATTCAGGATTACAGGAATTCTGCAACTCAATAGAAAAAACTAACAGGTAATAGCCTTTCTAATAAATAGTTAAACATAAAAAAAAAAAAAGACCAACAACCCAGTAGAAAAATAGGGAGAGGTTAATTAGCAAGCAAAAGAAAACCTAATGGCAAATAAATATATGCAAAGGTGCTCAACTTTATTTTTAGTCAAGAAATGTACATAAGAACAACAATAACATAATATTTCATAGCCATCAGAGTGGCAAAAATTTTAAAGTCTGAGATTTCCAAGTTGGGGAGGTTGTGGAATATGGGGACTCTCTTTACTGCTGGTAGTACTCTATAATTTAGTACAACTACTTTAGAGAGCCATGTGCAATCTAGCAAAGTTGAAGATATATGTATCCTATAACTTATGAATTCTACTCTTTGGCATATGCCCTAGACATAGACACGTCCAAGTATATTCACTGTAAAAGAAATGAACTGCTGTCTGATATTATCTCATGTATATACTTTTATCAGTCTTCAAATTCAGTGTCTTTTCTATAGAATGTTTGATTCTTCTAGAGGCTATAAGGACTTTACCCTATCGCCTGCACTGTTTATTCTTCTTTTCTGGTACATTAGGGAGAAGTAGTGAACTGACTTAATCCTTGAAGAGTCTTCTGGGCATCATCTTATTCTGCAAAGGCCATAACACCAAACCTCTAAACATATCATTCTCCATCCAATTTTAAATTTTAGTAAATAAGACTTAAAATAGAACACGATTTGACTGTTATGAATGATTGTTCTCCTTGGGGTAGTAATACAAACTTCACATTTGTCATGATTTGTTAATCTAATTTACATTTGTTTACACCATTGCCTTTTTTCAGAGGATGCAGTTAGCAACTTCAGCCACTGGATGGTGCAAATTCACAAGAGTCCAATGAAAGTTCCTAGAGGTCCAATAAAGCTCCAAGGCACACCTGTTGCTACTCCGCACCAAGGGAAGGAGGGTTGGGTAGAAGGAAAGACTTTTTGGACCTGAAATTTCAGTATAGACATGTATCCAAGTTCACTGGTAACTCAGATGAAGGGAAATTTTTAGAATTGATGACTGACAAATGAGGTCATTGAATAAGGAAAGAAAAGGAAAGAAAAAAGAAAAGTACTAGCTGAAATAATGAGGAAAAGGAAGAGGAAGAGATAATGAAATATGAGGAAAAAATAATATAATAAGTCTAGAAAATAATATAAGTCCAGAGAGAATGAACTGAAGTGTTAGCAACAATTAAAATATGGCCCCTCATTGATTTGCTTCTCCCTAGAAACTGATAGCAACTTTGATATAAAAGTCATTTTCTTCTAGGAGGTCATATATGCTACCCTCAGCTATTTATTTGGTGATATGACATTATCAACAAATTTTTTGAGTGTCTATAGTGAACTTGGTGCTTTGTTGATGCAAAGTAATGTAGAGATATACAAATTAACACAGACACTACAGGCTTCAAGCAGAATAACCAGAAAGTACACATAAAAAGATAAAGGCAATATGAGGGACATTGTGTGAACTCTGGAAATATAATCCTTTCTGAAAGTGGGAGGAGAGAAGTAGAGTGCAAGAGTATGAGGGGAGGACAGGGTCAAAGGGCTCTCAAACTGTCCAAGGCAAAAAAAAAAAAGATTTCTTTTGGCCCATAGTCATAAGTACATACAGCAGCTCTTCCTTGGAAAATGGCAGTTCTGGACATAAACATAGGAAACATGCTCTCTCAGTCAGAATTTGCTGGACAGTGCTTAAAAAGGGTCCAAAATAAGAAGGGGTAGGGGTTGGGGGAAAGAATGTTTAAGGCTAGTGCCATCCCTAAGTCTACCATTGCACTAGCCTGAAGGTACAGAAAAGCAAGGATGCCAATGAACTGCTCAGACCTGTCAGAGATCCAGAGTCCTAGGTAACTTTGATTTTTAAGATTACAGGTATATCTTTCACAGGTGGAGAAGAAGTATAAAAAGAGTAAAAAAGGCCAGGTGCGGTGGCTTACACCTGTAATCCTAGCACTCTGGGAGGCCGAGGCAGGAGGATCACTCAGGGTCAGGAGTTCGAAACCAGCCTGAGCAAGAGCCAGACCCCGTCTCTACTAAAAATAGAAAGAAATCAATTGGCCAAGTAAAAATATATAGAAAAAAATTAGCCAGGCGTGGTGGCACATGCCTGTAGTCCAAGCTACTCGGGAGGCTGAGGCAGTAGGATTGCTTGAGCCCAGGAGTTTGAGGTTGCTGTGAGCTAGGCTGACGCCATGGCATTCACTCTAGCCTGGACAACAAAGCAAGACTCTGTCTCCAAAATATATATATATATGTATATAATGGTGACACCAAGAATTGTGCCAGCTTTGAAGTGATCTGTAGACTCAAGTACACATCCCAAAGCCCACACAGGAGTTCTCCCTTCTCTGCCATCTCTCTCATCTCTTAGATTTCAAAAATCTCCACTGGTAAGGGAATATAGGATTCAGAGTTGTTAATTGATGAGGGAGTCAGAAAATCTTCAGAGGGATCTTGCTTTCTAAGGGGAAACAAGTTGTCCCCAAAGCCAAATAAACAATTTTGATTTTGTCAGTGAATTTCTTCCTTTCTTTTGAGACAGAATCTCACTGTGTCACCCCAGGTAGAGTACAGTGGCATTATCATAGCTCACCTCAATCTCAAATTCTTGGGCTCAAGCAGTTCTCCTGCCTCAACCTCCTAAGTAGCTGGGACTTCAGGCGAGTGCTACCAGGCCCAGCTAATTTTTGTAGAGATGGGGTCTTACTCTTGCTCAGGATGGTCTTGAACTCATGACCTCAAGTGATCCTCCTGCCTTGGCCTCCCAAAGTGCTAGGATTACAGGCATGTGCAAGTGTGAGGCCAATTTTGTCAGTGATTTTCCATAAAGTCAGTACAAATGTTACCCGAATTATACTGTTGCCCAAGAGTTGATGAGTGTAGACTTTGCCACGTGTTTCATCTCCTGGAAATCTCATGTTTCTGGATTAAAGGACATTCTGTGGTGGAGGAGGCTGGGAAGGATGGGGATGAATGCAGGCATTTGTCTTGGACCAAGAGCTTCTGAATACATAGTGCTTGTAATCATCCTCTCTAGTAGTCCTGGGAAAGAACAAGCATTTCCTCCTCTATTTTATGGTCAAACTAAACCACAGATGGCAGGATAAACTTGAGGCAATGTTGTGAATCAGTGGCAGAATGCAAATAATATACTCATTTATCCAAAAGCTAACTCCAGTGCTTTTCCCTCTCTACTGTATTTTCAAACTGTGCTCTGTGGAAATTTAGAGGTTCCTTAGGGCTTCCTTGAAAGTTATCATCATCCATGCTTTGCATCTGTTCTATCTCTTTAAGGTTCAACTTGAATATTAACTCAAGCCTTAGGGTCAGGTGTTCCCCTGTTGGTATTGTTTTAAGAATCACTTTTTTGGACAGTACTTCAAGTAGAGAAGTAAGAAAGTAATTACTTAGAAACAGGCACATTTCACCAAAATGAAATGGTTTCAGACTCTTACGAAAAAGTAGACCCACACCCTGTCTTATCTCTCCTCCCATTCCCTTTTTCACCTAAACACTCTTTGGTGATCAGCTGTTTCCACTTTCTTACCCAACTCCTATTTAACCAGATCAGATATGACTCGTAGTTATGCCCCTGTGAGAAAGAGCATCATCATAATCATTTTGCTCTGGAATCCTTATCCAAAATGTATGCGGCTCCCTATTAAACTAGGATATGATACCAGACCCACTTTAGGAATTCTGGATTGTTAGGAGACTTCATTTGGGTACTATTTGTCTGTAGTTTCTAAACCGTTTTGGGATGACTTATGAAGAGGACTTTTAGAATGCTTAGGGTAAAGTTCCTTTCACCACTGTGTTGATAACTACATGTAGTGGCAGAAGGTAAATCATAGACACTTATGAATGTCAATCAGGGAAAGCAGGAACCCCACCATAAGCTAGTTGAGAGCCAGTGAGAGTGAAGTCAGCTGAGGATAACAGAGGAGTTGAAAGCTGTGTCACATCAACAGCTGCCCTTGTTCCTTGGCAGCTGTGTTTAAGTCTTTTGTCAAAGAGAGCAATAAGGTCCATCCATAGTACTTGGAGGGAAGGCCTTTTGTTTTCATTTGAGGGGATAGAAAGATATCCATTTTTTAAATATACAAAGTTAATCACAGAGGCTTGTGGCTAAGTCAGAAGCAGTGGCATGAGGGTTAGCCCAGGTTCTCCCTTCCTGGAATTTCTGTTTGATTATAATGTCCCCACTGAAGACACAAGTGTAAAATTGGCCAGAATCTGCCCCTGTTGATAATAGGGAGAAGACAGTGTAGTATCATTCATTCAATGTGTGAGGCAGAGCAAAGCTTTTCAGAAGTATGTCTGGTGGATAACAGTGATCCCTGCAGTTTTCTTTGAGTTTGATGAGTTGGGAGCATCTTGTCCAACCTAGAGATTGAAAGGAAATACGAATGATAAAGAAGGATACAAATGGATACTTCTTCATGTGCCAACAAAGGGATAGCTAAGCAAAAATACTCATATTGTCTACAGCCATGCCACCCTGAACACGCCCAATCTCATCTGATCTTGGAAAATACCCATGTAATTCTAAGTACACTTACTTTTGCCTTTGTTACTCATAGTTATACTGTGAAAGTACAAGCAAGGCGTATATATGTAAGAGAACCTACAATTGGTTGGAACCTATAACCTATTACTAGTAAAGTGCCCATTTACCCTCTGCTTGACCTTTTTGCTTTGAATGAAAAAGGCCCTGAATATGCAGCTGGTTTGAATCTCAGATGCACAGGGATTCTATTGCTTTCCTTGAATTAGTCCCACACAATCTTATTACATTTTGAAAAGAGAGATTTGGGTCTATGTGAACCAAATATTTTTAATAATCCCATTCCACCCTCCCTATGCTTTATGCCCCATCTAATTTTGTATGTACTTCCTAAATACTGAACTGTTATGAACATAATTAAGTTTTTGTGGTTGCTGAGTTTTTTTCCCAACTAAACTATAAGCCTCTTGAAGGCAGGGTACTTGGCACACAGCTTTATTTATTTATTTTTTTTTGAGACAGAGTCTCACTCTGTTGCCCAGGCTAGAGTGCCGTGGCATCAGCCTAGATCACAGCAACTTCAAACTCCTGGGCTCAAGCAATCCTACTGCCTTAGCCTCCCAATTAGCTGGGACTACAAGCATGCGCCACCAGGCCCGGCTAATTTTTTCTATATATGTTTAGTTGGCCAATTAATTTCTTTCTATTTTTAGTAGAGATGGGGTCTGGTTCTTGCTCAGGCTGGTTTTGAACTCCTGACCTTGAGCAATCCTCCCGCCTTGGCCTCCCAGAGTGCTAGGATTACAGGCGTGAGCCACTGCACCCAGCTGGCACACAGCTTTTAGTAAAATTTTGTGGAATAGATGAATGAGCTGGTGATATTCTTTTAATTCACTATAGGAATTATAACAAAAGACTTGGATTCTAGTTCTGTTACTACCAGATATATGACCTTGGAAAAGTCACATAACCTCTCTAAGCCTCTAATCAAGTATTAGTAATATGTAAATACCTGCCCTGGCTACCTTCCAGGGTTTTTGTGAGGCCCAAATGATGTAAAGTGTATAAAATTGCTACCTTATTACTAATTTTATAATTCCTTTGTCATTTTGTAGCCTATTATATTCTAGAAGTCCAGTCAGAGTTGCTGCTACAATGGGTAACTAATTCTGGACTAGACATTTAGTCCCCTTCAGGCCTATTTCTTCTAATGTTATATAGAAATAATACTATTGATTGGAGTAAAGAATTAAAAATATACCTGTGATAATATACTAATTTGGCTGGGCACAGTGGCTCATGCCTGTAATCCTAGCACTCTGGGAGTATGAAGCAGGAGGATTGCTTGAGGTCAGGATTTCTAGACCAGCCTAGGCTGGAGGGAAACCCTGTCTCTACTAAAAATAGAAAAATTAGCCAGGCATGGTGGCATGGGCCTGTAAACTCAGCTACTCGGGAGGCTGAGGCAGGAAAATTGCTTGAGCCCAGGAGTTTGAGGTTTCTGTGAGCTAGACTGATGCCACGACACTCTAGCCCAGGTGACAGAGTGAGACTGTGTCTCAAAAAATATATATAATAATAATAAATAATAAAATAAAATAAAAAAGAATGCCATTGTAAGCTTTTTAAAATAAAATAAAATCATGCTAATTTATATGGGGTCATCATCCAATATTAGAAGAAATAGGATTATAAAGAATATTAACCTAGAACAGAGAAAAAAAATAAGTTAGCAGTGGGTGCCTGAAGCACTGTGATAAGAAAAATTCTGATGGCAGGCCTGGGTGGAAAGGGTGTTGGGCTTGACTATTGATATGTACATTTGACATATAATTCAAGAGTAGCAGCATGTGTACCATCCTAGACTAGATAATCTTTGAGACCCATTCTCAGTGCTATAATTCTACAAAAGTGGACACCTTGTTTAATTTTAAAAGTATTAGAAACCTAAACTCTTTGCCTTAGTGAGTATTGTAGATATTTTAGAGAAAATGCCCATCAATTTCTGATATTCAAAAGCCAACTCCACTCCTGCTGGGGAAACTGGATTTAAAGCAGCCATGCTGAGCCAATGTAGTGTCAATTTTAGACACCAAAGGGCACTATTAATTTATAATCTTGTCAGGAAACCCAAGGTGAGGGAAGGAGGTTGCTTTGCCAAGCCTTCCCCCCCCCCCTTTGAAGCCTACAGCATCTAGTATGCCCAAGTGGTCTCCCATACAAGTACTAACCAGGCCCAGCCCTGTTTAACTTCCAAGATCAGGTGCATTAAGGGTAGTATGGCCATACTACTTTGCCAAGTCTTCAAATTGTGTTCAAGTGTGGTGGTTCCTAAACTTTGTTGTATATAAGAGTTACCTAGGGACAGGGATGGATACATCTGTTGTGGGTTCTGAAGCTCTTGCAATTTTGGGGAAACTTCTTAAATAAAAATAATACAAATTTTAAAAATACAAAATTGGATAAAAGGGCCGGGCGTGGTGGCTCACGCCTGTAATCCTAGCACTCTGGGAGGCCGAGGCGGGTGGATTACTCAAGGTCAGGAGTTGGAAACCAACCTGAGCAAGAGCAAGATCCCGTCTCTACTATAAATAGAAAGAAATTAATTGGCCAAATAATATATACAGAAAAAATTAGCCGGGCATGGTGGCGCATGCCTGTAGTCCCAGCTACTCAGGAGGCTGAGGCAGCAGGATTGCTTGAGCCCAGGAGTTTGAGGTTGCTGTGAGCTAGGCTGACACCACGGCACTCACTCTAGCCTGGGCATCAAAGCGAGACTCTGTCTCAAAAAAAAAAAAAATATTGGATAAAAGACCTTGGAAAGGGCCCGCAGGTCCTGAAGCTTAAGCTTCATTGATTTCACCATAAATCCAGCTCTACTTGGGGAGCTTATTGAAAAAATCTTTAAAATAAGAATACTGGCTTCACCCTAAACATTCAGATTCAGTATATTTGGAGCCCAGAGATATGTATATTCAATAAGCATCTTATTGTGTTATGGCTGGGCTAATGTTAAGAAAATATAAATATAAATTCCTACCCATTTCCTGACATATAAAAGAATTATTCACATCTGCTTCATAATTGAAGTAGCTCCCTGTCTCCCAGCACTTATATGTTAATGCCTTTGTCTCTAAGCAAGTCACATAAACCACACAGAGAAAACTTTCCTTCTCAGGCTGAGAGTCACACTGGGATTCAGCTGTCCCAGGTTTCTGGCCTCCTTTCTTTGGCTTTCTCCACCACCACTGGCATTGGCACAGCTTCCTGGCTCCTAAGCATTGACACTGAAGAGAGAAAATGACTAGTATTAACTTCAAGTGGCCTGTAAGCATTTGATTATCTTCCAAACCTGTCAGGCAATTTAAAGGAAATCATCTATTCTAATGAAAATATTCAGGCCTATTGGTTATATCCTTCCTAGAGAATGTCAAGTATAGCAGAGGAAAGGAACTTGCATTTAATGAGTACCTCCTATGTGCTAGGCACCTTTTACACAGTATCCCAACCTTCACAATTACCATAAGAAGTGAATATCATGATACCTATTTTACAGATAAGGCAACTAAGGTTGGAAAATTCAGCAACTTTTCCAAAACCACTCAGCTAGTGAGTATGAGTGGCAGATCTGTCCAAACTCCAAAGTCTGTGCTTTTCTGATTATGCCAAGCTGCCTCTGGAACAGAAGGAAGTCTTTATAGATCAAGGTCAAGGACCCAAAACATTAGCAAACTTACAGGACATGGGACTTCAAAAATTACAAATATTATAATGGCGACTCCACTGAGCAACAATGTGACAGCAATCAGAAATTTGACCACAATACTCCATTTCTTCCTCTTCTCTAGGTTCTCATCTGTGTCTAAAGGAAAGAGATGAGTGGAAGAGGGAGAAAAGAGAATTTAAGAGAGGGAAGAGATTGACCCTTTGACTTGAAGTTCTGCTGTCTCAGAAGACTAATATTAGGGCACAGCCTGACCCAGAGGCAGAGGCTGAATTTCCAATTCAAACTCAGAATCAGTAGTGGGGTGGGCATCATAGGATCTGCTGTAACCTCTTTTGCAGCCTGTTCTCAACGAGTCACCTTCCCTGGAATTGGGGATTTTTCATAATCATGTAGGGCTGATTCTTACACTGCTCTCAGAGGAAGAAAAGGCTCGGGTATACAAGGAGTTTAAATGTAATTTTCACTATCAACCCTCTCGGGGTTCCTACCTTTCTACTCTGACAGATTTTGTGGGATTAGAAAATAACCTTTCCTATGCTTCCCTTGGCTTTAGTGGGGGATAGGAGCAGCAAATGTGAATTGGCATTGCTTCTGGGTCATAAGCCAAATCTGGTGGCAAGTAGCTCATACGTATCTTTTTTTTTTTTTTTTTTGAACAGAGCTAGCTTTGTTGTCCAGGCTAGAGTGAGTGCCGTGTGCGTCAGCCTAGCTCACAGCAACTCAAATCCTGGGCTCGAGTGATCCTTCTGCCTCAGCCTCCCGAGTAGCTGGGATACAGGCATTGCACTATGCCCGGCTAATTTTTTATATATATATATCAGTTGGCCAATTAATTCTTTCTGTTTATAGTAGAGACGGGGTCTCGCTCTTGCTCAGGCTGGTTTTGAACTCCTGACCTTGAGCAATCCGCCCGCCTCGGCCTCCCAAGAGCTAGGATTACAGGCGTGAGCCACAGCGCCCGGCCTTCATACGTATCTTGTTATTACTGATCTCATATTTACTTTTCCCCTGGTAAGAGCTGAGCTGTAACCCAAACTAGAATCTTGTAGAATTTGAGTCCTGGTCAATTTAGGGAGGACTATTTCTAAAAACAGTGAAAATGAAAACATGCACTTTCTTGGTGTCACTACTGTTACAACTACTGTTGAAATACAATGGTATTGAAATAGTGTCCATCTATAATGCAATGACTAGAATTACCTACCACATGAATATGATTTATTCTATCTCCAAATCTGGATATGAGATGAGCTCATTTGCATGGAGGTAAAGGATCAATTGATGTTGTCAAACTGTAAACATTTCTGAGATCTTCTTTATAGAGAAGCTGACTTTTTCCATAAGAAATGGAATGGTTTTCTAATATAAACTCTGTAACCTCCAGGAAAATCCTAGGAGACCCAGACTAATATTGGGGCTAAAGATGTTTCTTTTTATTTCTGGTCTTGTTTTACTCCTATTTATTCTGTACCTTGTTCTTTCAAGGGGCTAGAAAAATTACCAATACTTGTAGTTTTCTCTCCTTCTGTATTCCCAGGAGTAATGGAATTGGTAGAGGTGGAAAAAGTCTCTGATGAAGCCCCGATCACTGGATAGACCTTACATTGGGAGATCCCTGGTAAAAAAGCTATAAAACAAGAAAGAAACAATGAGAGTACACAGCTTTAGGAGAAATGTTATCCTGTCTTACTTTACCCCACTAAACTCTGTCTCTACCCAGTTGATATTAAACTTCTAATTGTGGCTCCATTGACCTGTCTGTCCATAGGTTTAGGGTGTGAGCACAAAATAATGCCAAGAATAAATGAGGATAGAGATACTAATAAGATATATGGATTAAATCCTCACGGAACTTTTGCCTAACATAGCATCAAAGTGAAAGAGTAGACCGTATCTCATTTGCCTATCATTCTTAAGGCCATAATAACAATAAAGATGGAGGGCGTAACATTGTTGAACATTTCCTTCTTTTAAAAAAGGTGGCTCCAAAGTCCGAGGAAGAACATGAAATATAACTTGCCTGAATGACTGCTGGAAGTCGGTCCAGTGGAGTCTAAGTAAACTACTCTGAGAGGGGATTAGGGAAAGCAGGAAGAGTTGAAAGAAGGAAAGTCTATCCAGCTTCATACACTCCTCAATTTCATTAACTCTTCAAATGTTTATAAATGAGTATCTAAGCCTGAGCAAAAGCAAGACCTCGCCTCTACCAAAAATAGAAAAAATTAGCCAGGTGTGGTGGTACACACCTGTAGTCCCAGTTACTCGGGAGACTGAGGCAGGAGGATAGCTTGAGTCCAGGAGTTTGAGGTTGCAGTGAGCTATGATAATGCCACTATACCCTAACTAGGGTGACATAGGGAGGCTTTGCCTCCAAAAAATAAAGAAAAGAAGAATATCTATGCTGGGCACAGTGGCTCACACCTACAATCCCAGCACTTTGGAAGGCCGAGGCAGGAGGATTGCTTGAGGCCAGGAGTTTATGACTAGCCTGGCAACATAGACCAACAGAGACCCCCCCTTTACAAAAAATTAAAAAATTAGATGGGTGTGGTGGTGCACACCTGTAGTCCTAGCGACTGGGGAGGAGGATCACTTGAGCCCAGGTGTTTGAGGCTGCAGTGAGCTATGATGACACCACTGCACTCCACCCTGGGCAACAAAGCAAGACTTATGTGCCAGGCACTGCTTTAGTATTTTGTTTTTCTTTTTTTTTTCTTTCAACCCTGGTGTCTCATTATGCTTTCATATTTTGTATGTATCAGTTGGATACATTCTAGCAAGGGAGTAGGCAAAGAGGAGGAAGGGCTGGGGGCAGGCAGGGAGAAGCAGACAACAGTAAGTATAACAAATTTCATGGTATATTAGAAGTGGATAAGTACTGCTGAAAATTTAAAAATAGAGCTAAGTAAGGGAGTAGTCTGAGGGATGTGGATGAGCAACCTGCAGTATAGGCTCAGTGAGAAGGTGAGAATTGAGCCAAGACTTGAAGGAAGTAAGGAGATTAGGCAAGCAGATGCCTGGGGAAGTAGTGACCTAGGCAGAGGGTAAAGTCCCTGGGGCAGAGTGTGTCTGGCATATGACAGTTTTAGAGGAGTAGCAAGGAAACCAGTGAGACTGGAGTGGAGTGAGCAAGGGGAAAAATTGTAGGAGATGAGAATCTACAGGAAATAGTCCCATATTATTTAAGGCCTTGTAGGCCAGTTGAAGGAATTTGGTTTTTATTGTGATTGGAATGGGGATCCGTTGCAAGGTTTTGAGCAGAGAAGTGGCAGGATATAGCTTTAGTTTTAAATAATTACTGGGCTACTGTGTTGGGAATGGGCTAGTGGTGGGCAAAGATAGAAGCAGGGTAACCCTCTTAGGAGGCTATTGCAGAAATCCAGATGAGAAACGATGTGATTCACACCAGCAGTGGAAATGATGAGAAGTAGACGGATTTTGGTTGTAGTCTGGAACTAACTTTACTCACCTCTAGAGTTGATCTAATCCAATTCAGACAGTGGTTCATGGTCCATATTTAGGGTCTCATATCACTGCTTATTAAATTAAGGTCTGTAAGTTCTACTTGATCTTTTCTTTCTTCTTCCTTTCTTTCTTTTGATAGACTCTTTTTTTTTTTTTTGAGACAGAGTCTCGCTTTTTGTTGGCCCAGGTGACCAGGCTGGATTGCCGTGCTTCGGCAGCTAGCTTCAACAACAACCTGTCAAACTTTGAGGCTCAAGCAATCCTTGCTGCCCTCAGGCCTCCCCAGTAGCTGGACTAGCAGGCAGTGCCCACGTGGCCCAGACATTTTTCTATTATATATTAGGTTGGGCCAATTGTTCTATTTATTAGTCAGAGATGGAGTTCGATCTTGCTCCATTGCTGGTTTCAAACTCTTTTGAGGCTTGAAGCAATCCCGCCTGCTCGGCCTCCCGAAGAGTTGCGCTAGGATTTACGGCGTGAGCTTACTTCGCGTCCTGGCCACTTTTGATAGATGCTTATTCTGTTGCACAGACTGGAGTGCAGTAGTGTGATCATAGCTTACTGCATCCTTGAACTCCTGGGCTCAAGTAATCCCATTGCCTCAGGCGTCAGTCAGCTGGAGCTACAGGTGGTGTGCCCCAGGCATGCGCCTAACTAATGTTTTAAAAATTTTTTTTGTAGAGACAGGGTCTCACTTTATTGTCCAGGCTGGTCTCAAACTCTTGGCCTCGCAGTCCTTCCCCCTCAGCCTCCCAAAGTGTTGGGATTACAGGCATGAGCCACCATGCCCAATGACTTTTCTAAATTACTCTTCCATGTCTTAACACATTGACTGCCACACTAGAAAAGGAATTTTTCCTTGGGGCCACAGCATTTTATTACAAAAATACAATAAAAACTTTGAAAACAAAACAATCCTTTCTAATTTAATGAAAAATTTGTGGCTTTTTAAATTGTTTTCTGTGCATGAGTTATATGCAACTTAAAAAATAGTTCACATAGCTCCCAAGGTGAAGAGATGTGTGAGTTACTTCACAGGCCCTGGGCTCAAAACTAGCATGAATTAAATACAACTCACATGGCAGTTAATCTGTTAATTAAGTCCATGTGAAAATGATAGTTCTTTCCTACAGAGACCAGTGACAACACCAGGCAGTGTACATGAAATTACAAGGGAAGAAGTAGTCCCTGATTTCAGTTTAATCAGGAAGACAGTGTTGGCAAAGATAGGCAGAGACTGACATAAAATCAACAGGTTTAAAAGAAAAAACAAGGAAATTTTCAGCACAGTGCCAGTCAGTTCTCTGAAGTGATACGTACATAGTTATGAGACTGATGAGATGAAGATAAACAAATCTCACTTTGGACAAGTCACGTAAATTCTCTGAGTTTTGGTTTCCCTATCTGTAAGATGGCTATGATAAAATAAAACGTGGTCTACCTATTTCGCAGAGCTGTTATGAAGATCAGAAACAAATAAAAATGAGAGAGCACATGTGAAAACACATTGCAAACTATTATGACTGAAAGAGGAGGGAAACATAGTAGAAGAACTCTTCCCTCTAGCCACAGGGGTAATGGTATTTCAACGTCGCATGTCTGCCTACCTCCTGGGAACTACTACTTCAAAGTCTACTAAATAGGCTTCATCTGTCATTGTGAAATATTTTCAGTTCTACCTAGCTTCTAAATTAATGTCCAGCCATGTTAGCAACTCATCTCTTTCAGGTCTTGTCTGCTAGGCAACTGAGCATCAAGATGGAACAAGTTTGTAAATATAAACACTTCATTCCCATTTGTAGCTGTAGAAACTGAGCTGTGTAGAAATTAATTTGTCAAAAGAAATAATTAAGCTGGATGTGGTGGCTCACACCTTTAATCCTAGCACTCTGGGAGACCAAGGCTCGTGGATGGTTTGTGCTCAGGAGTTCGAGACCAGCCTGAGTAAGAGTGAGACCCCATCTCTACTAAAAAAAATAAAAATTAGCTGGACAACTAAAAAAATATCTCTCTCTCTCTCTCTCTCTCTCTCTCTCTATATATATATATATATATATATATATATATATATATATATATATATATATATATATAAATTAGCCAGGCATGGTGGTGCATGCCTGTAGTCCCAGCAACTCGGGAGGCTGAGGCAGTAGGGTTGCTCAAGCCCAGGAGTTTGAGGTTGCTGTGAGCTAGGCTGATGCCATGGCACTCTAGCCCAGGCAACAGAGTGAGACTGTGTCTCAAAAAAAAAAAAAAAGTAATAATTAATATCAGAAGAAACACTAGTTTGATATTATATCTCCTATACCCACAGTTTCACATGGGATAGTCAGACCTTTGAAATTGGTTTACGCTAATCAAATTCCAAAAAGCTAATCTGTATACTAAAATGACATTTAAAAAATTTACGTAGGGGATTATATCTGTCAAATGTATCAGATAGGACATTTTGCTCTTCTTGGTACCCTATTCTAAAGATACAGGTTCCTGTGAAACTTAATTCATAATTAGAAAGTTTCTTGATTAACATAGAATCTAACAGTAGGATCTAGACGGTGTAAACTATATCATAAATGATAAAGACCTAATGTGGCTGGGCTCACACCTGTAATCCCAGCACTTTAGGAGGCAGAGATGGGAGGATTGCTTGAGGCCAGGAGTTCAGACCAGCCTGGGCAACATAGTGAGACCCTATCTCTACAAAAAATTTTTTAAATTAGCTGGGCATGGTGTTGGGCACCTGTAGTTCTAGCTGTTCAGGAGGCTAAGGTGGGAGGATCACTTAAGCCCAGGAGTTAGAGATTACAGGGAGCTATGATTGTGCCACAGCCTGGGTGACAGAGCCAGACCCTGTCTCTTAACAACAACAACAAAAAAGACAGAGAGAGAAGACCTAATGAGTTATCTTTCTGTGCCAGAAGGAAATTTCAAAATATTTGTATAATATGGGGTCTTTTCCTTGGCCAGATTCCATAAACAGTAACAAACAATCCCAATCTAACTTTTTTCTATGTTCCATATTATTTCTGATGACCATCTGTGTTGCAGAACATTTTCATCTTTACAGCTTCAAATTCCTACTTTACTCTGAGGACATTTTCATAAACTGTCTTCTGCCTGTTTCTGGGACATCTCCTATGCAGACTATCTCATCCATAGTGTGATAACCTCATGGGGCATCTATTTATGACCTTGTAAATTTGACCACTTACCTAATTTTTGGGGGTAATTTTTTGGTAACTTTTCTAACTTTTTGGGATCTGTCATATCCTGGTATTCAATGTATGTTTAAATTCAAAATAGGCAGTTTCAAACTTATAAAAGGGGTTATGTCTCAAAAGTCCATTTATAAATCAGTTGTTTAGAATTCATCATTGTGGTTTCATAGACTTGTATGGTGAATGATGACTATATCACCAAACTAATCCACAAACATCCCTTTAGTCTCTTTGCATGGCTCAAATAGTACAGTGTAGTAGCTTAAGTTCTAGATGTGGGAACCAACCACCATTTCATGTAGGAAAAAGGAAGAATTTCTTCCTTTTTTCTTGGAAGACTAGCTAAAGGCAAAATTTTAAATGAGGTCAGATGATCTTTGGCATCTCTCCTCTTCCTTAACCTCTCAGTTTTTCTTGTCCCAAATTTCTAAGAGCTAATGCCCTTAAATGCCCTAAGTCCCACAATGCATAGCACTGTATTCACTCTGTCCAGACTGCTCCAGACTCCAAAATAACTTAAGTCCACTATTCTCTGTCACAACTGCCACTGAGTCAAGCAGGGTGTCATATCTTAAGAGGAACTATTTGATCGAATTACTTTTCATTAATGTTGAGTGACTGAAAGCCCAAAACCTTGCCAGAGGCTTTTGAGTTTTTAAGAGGTTTTTTTTCCTTTTTCCATAGAAATCATTACTTTGGAATTTTAGAAAGTATAATAAAGTGAACTAAACATTCAAGTCACATGAGAATATATAATTTACTGTACTGGGGCCACATCCTGAGAGCCTAGCCACTTATTTCCCAATCTCTAGTCTAGTTTTTAAAGTTTTTTCCTCATTATTCTGCTTGTGAACACACAGTTTCTCTGACAGTGTCAAGTGTTATTTTATTTTTCCAGCAGTATGGCAATAGCATCTAGGGGACTGCCCGTACATAAAGGGGAATTGCCTATACCAATCTATTGATCAGAAATTATTTGACAAAAAGAATGGGTGAGAGTAGGAAAGGAAGGCAGAAGCAAGGGAAACTTAAGGCTGAGGTCAAGAACCACTGCCCAGCAGCTGGGGGGGAACAGGCATTCTCACAGTGTGAATAAGAATGCAAAATGGAACACCCCTATGGAGGATAATTTACCAATATCTATCAAACCTTTGACACAGCAGTCCTGCTTCTTGGAATTTATCTTATTGATAAATTGGAGGTATACAAGAAGAATGTATAAAGTCATTGTTTGCAGCATTGTTTGTATTTGCAAAAGATTGGAAACTACCAAAATATCTGTCAACAGAGGACTAGTAGGATAAATTAGATCCATACAATGGAATACTGTACAACTGTTAAAAAGAAAGAATGAGATAGATAGGGAAGATTGCTTGAGGCCAGGAACCTGAGACTAGCCTGAGCAAGAACAAGACCCCATCTCTACCAAAAATAGAAAAAAATTAGCCAGCTGTGGTAGTGTGCACCTGTAGTCCCAGCTACTCAGGAGGCTGAGGTAGGAGGATCACTTGAGCCCAGGAGTTTGACGGTTGCATGAGCTATGATGACACACTGCACTCTACCTGGTGGATCAGGTAGATCTGTCAAGAAAGAAAGAAGAGAGGAGAGGAGGAGAGGAGAGGAGAGGAGAGGAGAGAGAGGAGAGGAGAGAGGAAGAAACGAAAAAGAATGAGGTAGATATTACATAATTGATACTGAACACCCATAAGATATGTTGCTAAGTGGAAAAAAGCAAGGTGCAGACATGTATATATGCTATCATTTATGTCTTTAAGTTGTATGTGCTTAGAGATTTCGAAAGGAAATTAGAAGAGTTTTTTGTTTTTGTTTTTTTTTTGAGATAGAGTCTCGCTTTGTTGCCAGGCTAGAGTGAGTGTGTGGCGTCAGCCTAGCTCACAGCATTCAAACTCGCTGGGCTCAAGCAATCCTGCTGCCTCAGCCTCCCCAGTAGCTGGGACTACAGGCATGCACCACCATGCCTGGCTAATTTTCTCTTATATATTTGTCAATTAATTTCTATTTATAGTAGAGACAGGTCTTGCGCTTGCTCGGCTGGTTTCGAACTCTGCCTCGACACTCGTCGCCTCACTCCCCAGAGTGCTAGGATTACAGGCGTGAGCCACCGCGCCCAGCCGGAAATATAGAAAGTTGGTAATAGTGGTTCTCTCAGGGATAGAGAACTACAGGATTGAGAGACAGGAGTAGGAGGGAGATTTAGTTTTCACTATAAATCTGTGCTGTTTGAATATTTTACTGTGTGCATTCTAAACAAAGAAAATTTTAAAAAACTGTCAAAATAAGATCCTTCAGAAATGGAGATCGTATGAAAAGCACAGTATATCAGGGCTAGAAAGGGACCTTAGATATTAGAAAACTGATTCTCAGAGAGAACATAGATTTGTCCAAGTTAGGGATGATCCATTTCCTTGTGGCTTTAGCTGCCAATACGCTCCAGCTGCCTTCAAGCACATCAACTAAAAGTTAGTGCCTACCTCCATCTCCTTTTCCAATCTCACCTTTGCCTGTTAGAAGGGATCCAGTCTGAAACTTGGATGTAAGGGTTAGGTGACAGCTTGGGGAGGCAGAGTTGTTTCTGTGGGAAACAGCAATGACTTGTAGGTTCTTTAGAATATGCTTAACCTTTGGCTTTCTCTCCAAATACACAAGGTTGACTTTCACTTTGTTCTCAGAAGCAAGGCACTGCAGAGTAGCCACAGTCTGATTTTGGATGAATGTTGCCCTTTTGATTTCTGTGTGAGTTTCTAGAAGGAGAAAAGCCAGACAGAAAAATGAAGGTAATTCTTGATCTGAATGGTACCCAGGTAACCCATTTCCATTCCTGACCACTGTTAAATTCCACTGCTACATGTTTCCTCTTTATAGTTTACTTTTTCCTTAGTATATGTTCATGGTACTAAATATACAAGTCCTGCCTTTCTTCCTTCCTGCGAGGGGTGTCATGAAGATAGGTGACTGCAGTAAATTCAGCACAGAGAAATGTTCATAGATTGTTTTCTTTAATGCACAGAGGATTAAGTGCTGCCTCCTACTTTATCTCCATCTGTTTGATTTATATAGGCATGCCTTAGGTAATAGTTAATGAAAAAATTGGTTTTCAAAAAGCCTCCTGGGGGGGATACATATCTCTAAAATAGGATATTTGAGATATGAGCTAGGAAGCAAGCAGATAAGGTGTCTTTTAAAGATAAAAATTTCTTGGAATGGCAACATGATTTTCCAGAAAGGGCCCATTCCCTACCTTGTGTTAGCAAATCCCTGATGCTTGGCACATCCTTTGGGAAGAGCTCAGGCAGCTGTTCCACTTGGCAACTGCTATCTCTGAGGTCTGGTGGGGGTAGGGGGTGAAGGTCAGAATTTACTGGGTACTTACTCTTTAGAATTCTGGGCACTGGAGGGGAAGATGCAATAGAATGCAGTTCTTGCTCATAAAACTTGCAACTGAGGAGATCAAGCACTCCCTAAAAAGACTTTAAAAAATCACAGCCAAATACGTACAAGTAGGAGTTAGCCTAGTATAACAAATTCTGAGTACTAATCCATTACCTTTAGAAGAAAGAAAGGTGAAATAAAGTTAAGTTACAAAGCTAATGAAAGACTAACCAACTCATTACCTTTAACATAAGGTAAAATATGTATACCTGCTTATTTTCTCTCCTCCCTCCTGTTCTATTTGCCTTCTTGTATTAAAGAAAACTTTTGAAAACTGATTTAGTCGAACCTTAAACAAGGTATCTCTCTATAGGTTTCTGTAGAACCATAGGTCATAGTTATTTCTGCTTTTTGGCACATGGTTCACAGGCTGTTGTGAATTAATTTGTTAACTTTGTTACTACTGCACCTTATGGTATTTGACCTTAACTCTGATTAGCTAATTTTAGAGATGAAATGTTTAGGAAAATTTGAAAAATCATGTTTTTTTTTTTGAGACAGAGTCTCCCTTTGTTGCCCAGGCTAGAGTGAGTGCCATGGCGTCAGCCTAGCTCACAGCAACCTCAAACTCCTGGGCTCAAGCGATCCTCCTGCCTCAGCCTCCCGAGTAGCTGGGACTACAGGCATGCGCCACCATGCGCGGCTAAGTTTTTCTATATATGTTTAGTTGACCAATTAATTTCTTTCTATTTATAGTAGAGACAGGGTCTCACTCTTGCTCAGGCTGGGAAAAATCATGTTTTAAATAAACAGTTACCAAAGAGCAGCAAATGGTGCCATTCCACCCCCTTATCACTCCTTCCCTCAGCTGTCCCCACCCAAGAACATTGCCATCTAACTATTTGGATGTACTACCTTAAAAACAAAGGCAACATATTATCAGGGGTTGTGAATTTGGGAGTCTGAGGTGATGACAATACTGAAACTATGAGAGTACCCTGTAGAAAAGAAAGCCATCTAACAGCATAAGGACTTTTAATGTTAGTTACATGAACAAGACAAAAGAATGCATCATATTCTCTGAAGATGTCTCATCCTCTTCACACTATCTTTAGCTATCCCTCTAGGTTGAATAAATTGTAGTCCTACTTAGACAGGAAAGGATAGCATGGGAGTACTTCCAGAAAGTATTGCTTGCTGGATATCAGCTATATCTCTATCTGGTGAGAAAGACCCCCAATGCTTTCCAGGCCTGTCTTTGTATTCTCCAGGACATTAGGCTAGAGAAGTACTTACCTTTCTTGTTGGCATCATAGGATGTAATGATTAGGCTGAAGACCAAGATGGTATCCATGTTAGCTTGAGCACATGCTCATTGCAGAGACAAGCCACTACTGATCTGTCACTGCCTCTTAAAGCCTTATCTCTAGTTGCTTTCACTGCCCTGGAACCAAGTTTGACCCTGGGAGACTCTGGTTCCACCCTGATTATTTGGCCCCATTTCCTGAAGGCCCAAGAATAGAGCTGATTGGACAAAGGGCCAAGAGTGCTTATTAATGATTGACTCAGAAGGTCTTCTTCTGACTTCAGTGCTGGTGCCGACATAAAGAAATGTAATTATCTAGAGGTTTCTCTAGCAGAAAGGCATAAACACCCAGCGATATGCTTTACAAATACTTGCAGATAGACACGTAGACATGTAGACATTCACATGCATGCTCACTGACACAGGCACATAGGTTTACATAATAACAAAGAGATGTGGTGATTTCTATTAAGGAATATAATTTCTAGAATAGAGCAGGAAACAAGGACTAGAAATTAGTAGAAGTGACTACTAGTACAGGACCTGTTATTAACTGTATCACCCTGGGAAAATTACTTGACTTCTCGGGATCTTAATTTTCTCTTCTCTAATTGAGTCCTGACCAGATGACCACTAGAATTCATCCACAGTTATACACATAAACTTAACATTAGCACAAACATACCTATAGGGTTTTGCACATTTTCACATTCCTAAATAGTAAAGTGAGTGTGGATAGACAACATTCCTATGACTACTAGGCTGAGAGGTTGTTAGAAAGAGGTAGATGAGTGGTACTGTCTGTACTTTGGGAATGTTTTCCTAGACAGATAACTGTTGTTGAAGATTTGTCCAAAATTGTATTTTTTAGTAAAGAGTATACATCTCATGGGCATGGGTACAGTGACTCATGCCTGTAATCCTAGTACTCTGGGAGGCTGAGATGGGAGGATTGCTTAAGCTCAGGAGTTCAAGACCAGCCTGAGCAACAGCAAGACCCTGTCTCTACTGAAAAGATAGAAAAATTGGTTGAGCATCATGGCTCGTGCCTACAGTCCCAGCTACCCAGGAGACTGAGGCAGGAGGATTGTTTGAGCCCAGGAATTGGAAATTGCAGTGAGCTATAGTGATGCCATTGCACTGTACCAGGGCAACAGAGCAAGACTGTGTCTCAAAAAAATAAAATAAAAAGAGTATACATCTAGTGTAATACTCTATAGACTTTGTGATGGGATAGCCAGTTGGATCCTAAAAAAGAAATGAAGATCTTTCTAGATCTTTGACTAAGTCCAGAGCCTCTGTAGTCTTTCTACCCACTGAAAATGTACTGTATTGGAACCAACGTGGGTTTACCTATGCACGAGAGGGTTCTGAAGGCTGAAACTATGATTGATAATAATATAAAGGGAGCTTGGTTCAAGGGACTTTCCATGAGGGAGCTTATGAGATTTGAATTAAATCCTAATTTAAATACCACCTTGTTTGCTAACACTTGACTGCAGCTTGAAATCTGGCTAAAATGAGTACCAAAGGAAGTCTTGGGCAGGGGGGAACATAAAGGGAAGCGATGTCACCAAAGGATAACATGTTGTCTGAAATGTGGAAGGAGGAGAGGAAGTTTTGTGGATCTAGCTCCAATGCCTTGCATTCTTTCATTCATTAAGTATTTACTGAGTGACTACTCTGCACCAGGCACTATTCCAGCAGTGAGCAAGACAAAGGATCGAGAGAAAGACAAGACAAGGGACAAAGTCTGTGTTCTCAGGAAACGATAGAAAGCAGACAATAAACACGGTCGAAAAATAAACTAGCACAGAAGGGCTAATAATAATATACAAATAAATAAGTTAACTAAAAATCGTGATAGTTGCTGTAAAGAAACACACAGGATGATGAGGTGAAGGATTATTGGCAGAGGCCACTTTAAGTAGAGCAGGCAGCAAAGACTTTCCTGAGGAAGTAAGTTCTAATGAATAAAACTAGGAGAGTGGATGTCACAGGAGCCAGGAGAGGAAAGTATTTCAAGGAAAGAGTGGTCAGGTGATCAGAAGCTGAGAGACTGTGGATAATGAGGACAGAATATACACTGGATTTGGCAGTTTTGTAGGAGTGGTTCCAGTGAAGGGGTGGAAGTAGGAGTTGAGAGGGCATTGGAGGTAAAGAAGTATAGATAACTTTTTAAAGAGGTTTTCTTGTGAAAGAGAGCAGCGAGGCTACTGACTAGAAGAAACTTAAGTGTCTCACATTTTTATTAGTTTAGAGCAAATCTTTTATTGGTCCTATTCCTTACTCCTTTTTCCCTGATTCTCTTAGCACTGGAGGTGGTTAGGGTGGCATAAAGGGGCTCCATTGCCTTCCTTGGGTTTTATGGTTTTTCTTACTATTCCTTAACATGATTACATGATTCTCTGCTCCCCTGCAGTATCCGACCCTTCCCTGCCTTGCTCTATTTGTAATTTTCTGTAGATAAGTCCTTAGATGGTACATTACAGTGCTGCCACCTTGGAGCAGGAACAGGAATAGATCTGCAGGGCTCGCTATTCTCACCGTCTGTCACAAGGTGGCAGAAGAGCTCACTTTTCCCAAAAGAGACCTTGTGCTTGGGTAAAGATGAAGTGGGAGAGTTTTCTTTTATCAACTTAACCTTTTCATTCATGACTTGGAGCTCCAGAAGTCAGCCTGCATATTGGAGTAGGCCATATTGTTAGGTACAGAGAAGTGGGAGAGCTACAGTTAACAAGTCAAAATATCTAGGAATAGAGAAATAGTTCTGGGTCTATTTTTCTACTTCTAGATATTTTGACTGGCTTTTTAAGTGTTTAGAATATCTGTGGAGTAGAGGATATCTTTTCTGGTCTCTTTTTCCCACCACAAAAACATCAAATTTAGGAGGGAAAAAAAACTATAACATAAGTGAGTTTTATGATGTATGCAGTTTAGAGATATGACCTCTCTCTGGGAGAGAGTGGGAAACTAGGACTGAATCAGGGTGGGTCTGTAGGAAGAGTACTTGGAAGGAAGCCAGGAGGCCTACCTAGGCTCTAGATTAGGCTTGGTAATTGACTGAATCACTTAGAGCTAGTCGTTTAACTTCTCTGGACCTCTATTTCAGTTTCTTTAATGAGACACTTGTATAAGATGGCTTCCAAGGTCTCTTACAGCTCTAAAATTATCATCTTACCTCTATATTGTGCTACTCTTTTTTGTTTGTTTTTTTTATGGGTATATGCTTTTTGTTAATTTGTTTTGATTTATTTTTTTTTTTTTTTTTGAGAAGAGTCTTGCTCTATTGCCCGGGCTAGAGTGCCATGGCGTCAGCCTAGCTCACAGGAACCTCAAACTCCTGGGCTCAACCAATCCTTCTGCCTCAGCCTCCCGAATAGCTGGGACTACAGGCATGTGCCACCATGCCCGGCTAATTTTTTCTATATATTTTTAATTGGCCAATTAATTTCTTTCTATTTTTTTGGTAGAGATGGGTGTCTCACTCTTGCTCAGGCTGGTTTCGAACTCCTGACCTTGAGCAATCCTCTTGCCTCGGCCTCCCAGAGTGCTAGGATTACAGGTGTGAGCCACCGCTCCCGGCCTATTTTGATTTATTCTTTGATTTTGTTATTGTGGAATATATCATACATATAGGAAAATACATAGAACATAAGTATATCTTAAATAATAATACTGAAAAGGTGAATACCATATAACCAGCACCTAAATTAAGAAATCCAACATGCCAGTATCTTAGAAGCTCTTTATATCTTTGTCCCTCTGTTCATTTTCCTTTCCTTCTTGCAATCATTATTTTTCCATGTTTTGTAAAAATAACGAACTATTTATATATGTATCACTAAAAATATTTTGCTTAATTTTGCCTGCATTTGAACATTATATAAATAGAATCAAACTCTATGTATTTTAAAGTAAACTTTTTATTATGTATAACACAAAGTGAATACACCTTGGTAACCATCATCCCAGAAATTCCTTTTATGTCTTCTCCCAGTTACTGCCCACCATCAGGAGTAATTATTCTGATTCTTACCCCCACTGATGAGTTTTGCCTATTTTTGTTACCAGGAAACATACACTATATACTTTTTTATGTCTGGATTTTTTGCTCAATATTATGTTTGTAAAATTCATTCCTATTGCTTCATGTAGCAATTGCTTGTTCATTCTCATTGCTTTATAATATTCCGTTGTATGAATGTACTATAATTTATTTGTCCATTCTACCACTAAGAGACATTTGTGTATTTTCCAGTTTCTCCAGGGTATAAATCCAGAAGTAGAAGCTAGTTATAGGGTATGCAGTGTATGTTCACCTTGACTAATTAGTGCCAAACTGTTTTCTAAGAGGTTGTGTCCCCATTTATACTCCTTCTTGCAGTATATGAAAGTTCCTGTTGTTCCACATCCTTGCCAAAGGGGTCAAAGAGCCTTTCCAGTGTGGCACAACAATGAGCCTGAGCGAGGCCAGCAGCATACTCTCACAAGTGCCAACCTTTGGTTGGTTCTCAGAAGCTCAGGCCACAGTCATTTGCTCCTTCCAAGTAAGGGTAAAGATTCAGATTATCCCTAGGTCCCTGATCACATGCCCTATTACCCTGGGAATATTGGAGGCGGAGGTAGTGGATTTAATAGCATAATAATTCCTGAATCAAGTGAGCATCCATAGGGCATTTTGTTCTTGTGCAAAGCACTGGTAGGAAGTGGGGCTTGAAGCCATGGAGAGAAAGGGGAAAATAATATTTTCTGTGTGTCTACTATGTCCCAAGCTCTGTGCTAGAAGCTTTACATTTTGGTTATAGCATTTAATTAAAAACACCACCTTACAAGGCAGGTTTATATATTGATTTTATAGATAAGGAAACTGAGGCTCAGAAAGGGGGTCAGTTGCTCAGGTCACAGAGCTAATTAGCGACACAGTCATGATTTAAAGTGTGGTTTATCTGATTAAAGAGCTCACACTACTTACAATACAGAGCACAGGTATAGTCCCTGCTATTCTTGAGGTATCTTTGGCTAAGATTGCCAATACCAAGCATCAGAATCAGTTCTCAGTTTTGCTTACCTGTATTCACCGCCAAAACTATGTTATTCAATTGATTATGGCCATCCCATTCATTGATTTAAGCTATAATTTCTTTTAATTGATTTTTAGTTATCTTTATCCTTTCTTCCTCTTTTTTTTTTCATTAGGAAAATTACACACATCAGCACAACAGGTCCACTGATAAATAAGACTTGGGGAGATAGCTTTCTACTTGCAGGTCCAGAAGTTAACCAGAGGTGAGATTTTAAAAAAGACAGGGACATTGTGAAATTTTCTGATCTAAGATATGATATATAAGAAAATTTTAAGACTGAAGGAATGAAAACAATAACAAGGAGTTGAATGATGGCTTATTTTCCTTGATGGTAAAGGCTCTACAAAAATTATTAATGCTGTATTTTATTACTTATTGTATTTTACATATATTAATAATAACAACAATAGAGTGTGAGGGTAATTGAAGAAGACAAGTGGAGGGCTAATCATGTCATGTAGCAGGAAAAACCTGAGTCTGATACAGGAGTAATGGAGATACTAGAGAAGTCTGAAGAGAAGGTAAAGGCAGGGCAGGAAATAAACTTGCCAGGAGTACCTTCATGGGTTTAAAGGAAAGTTAGGTCAGAGATGGGTAGGTTTTAAAGCTTATCAACATAAAGTGTCAGAATCCCAGGACTGGCAAAACCTGAATGAGTCATCTCGTCCATTTTCTTACCTTTAAAGAAAACCACTCTTTATGGCCAGGCTCATGCCTGTAATCCCAGCTCTTTGGGAGGGCAAGGCAGGAGGATCGATTCAAGTCAGGAGTTCGAGATCAGCCTGGGCAACACAGGCAACCTTGTCTCTACAAAAAATACAAAAATTAGTCGAGTGTGGTGATGCATGGCTATAGTCCCAGCTACTGGGGAGACTGAGG